TTTACATGAAAGCATAAATACGGCAGGTACAAATTTTCCTTGAGTTCCTTGTTGAAATTTGGTCCATAACGTGAACAGGCTAAAGTAGAAAACAAAAAGACACTTTGTCCACATTTGCATTAGGAGTTGCTCAGGCGGCACCAGCGGCCTCAGCTTGTCCTTCAGCTGTTTGTTAAACCAGAGGGACAGACACGTGAGGTGTATGGTCTCATCACACAAACACGGGAATCCGCCCCCAAGGCAACAGTGGCACTTACGATGCCAGCCCGCTCCTACTGGGTGAGCAGGGCTGTCCCCGCGTGGCCGCATCTCCGCACAAGCTGCTTCCTCTCCACGCAAACAAGAAACTCTAGAACGCCTTTAGACAGAGTGACGGTGACATCTCAGGGGTCACAGCAGATCTACTTCCCAGACATGGACTTATTTAATGCCCCATCATGAGGATGGTTTTTTTTTTTTTTTTTCCATTTCAACAGATTAAAAAAAAATACACGAACTTCTAAGGTGATGCTATGATGCTCTATTCGAGTGCCACAGAAACCCACCCAGGGTGAAGACAAGGGCAGCAACACAGGGGAAGTGGTGCACACTTCTTCTGTAAGGGATGTCGACCGCCCTCCCATGGGTCCCTTCCCTCCCCAACTGCAGGGCGTTTAGGGACAGCAAGGCCTGTGGAAAGACCACCGGCTGGGAGAGTTATTGCACAGCCCGGAAGAGCAAGGGGACGGCAGGCAGCCGCTGTGAACATAGGTAACACTGAGTTTGGAGCACAAGGAGACTGCAACAGCCACACTAGACCCGCTATCAAATGGGCGTCTGCGGGCCAGCACTTGTGACTAACACCTTTACCATACAAACTGTGGGTTGAATGGGAGACAAAACAGAGTGGAAGAGGTTACAGCCAGGGTGCCTTTCTTTTTAAACTAGGGGTGGGGGGTGCTGGCAGAGCAGGGTTCACAGGGCACTCAGTGTCCCTGGAGGCCACCAAGCTTCCTTCCATGGGTAGGAGGCACAGGTGACTGCAGCCACCCCTGTGGCCAGAAAACTGACACAAAGGAGAAACCAGAAACAACCTAGAACAGACCACATACCCCAACACGATGGGGGGAGGGGACTGAGACAAGTGAGGCCAAACTGTCACAATCCATGTCCCTTTTACATGTGATATCCCAGGGTCCGGTGTCCTTGGCTGCACAGGACAGACCACCCTAGAGGCCTGGCAGCTGGCAGTACAAGCCAGGGCCAGAAGACCACATGGCAAGTAAGGCACTTCTAACAGCAAGGAGGAGGGTCTGCTCAGGACAAACTTTCAGGGGTTGCTGAGCACAGAGTCAGAACAGAACATGGAAGTCTCGATGCTGTTGAGACATCTATAAAAACAAGTAGGGGGGAGGCAGGAGAGGAGAGACCCGGGGTAAAGACAGTGAAGCCGATGAAGGCTTGCTCATTGGGCCAGCCTCTGGCTGAAGAGGGATTCTATTTAAGTGTCTCACCATCTGACAATGACCCTGTGCCCTTCTGAGGAGCAGGGTTGTGGGCTGGGAGGCAGTGGGAGGGAAGGAAGACCACTCTATCTTCCCACCTCCCAAGACCACAGCACACCTTCCATTATGGAACAACTCTGCTCACTTGGGTCTCCCAGGCACTCAGCAAGGGGAGTGAGTGCTGTCCAGGCCCAGGGAAAATGGACAGGGAAGGCTGAAACCTGTGATGTAAATCCAAAAGCTGAGCCTTCCCTAGCCACATGTGGCCTGGCAAGCCACTTCAAATTTAAAGAGGCATCCAGGGAGTAGAATTTTCTATTGTGGAATCTTGGGAGGGTGTACTCTCTGCCCCTACCTCTTATTCACCACTTAGGAAAAAAAAAAAAAAATCAAAGGCCGCTAAGAAAGAAGATTCCTAAAGAAAACCGAGATGCACACCCCCTGGGAGAATCCCCCACCCAAGCTTTAGGGGTTTCTAGGGTCCCAGGGATTCTAGTCAAGAGAAGCATCTGCAAAGGTGGCCAGAATACAGATGTCAATTTTGGTTTCTGAAATGTCAGTAAGTTCTGCCTGGGGACAGAAACAGAAACGGTTCTCGGCAACCATTTACATCTATTGGCCCAGACACACACACACGGGGTTAGAATGGACTAGAATGGGGGAGAAGCAGCTCCCCTCCTGGCTCAGCCTGCTTCCCTTTCCTCTAGAACCTTCCCCTACCTTCAAAAGGAACACATGTCACTTAACAGTGCAGCTATCAGAGCCTAGATGGTAAAAATAACTTTCCCACCACTGAACCCGAGGAGCACAGGGCCCTCCTGTCCACCACACAGCCTGCCTCTCTTGCCCACTGCCACCTGCCACACCTGTGCTGGCCAGGGATGTTTAAAGAGAGAGGCGGCTGTTGGCTGAGGTAGATGAGCATCTGTTCTCCTGCTCTTGCTGAGCCAGCCTCTCAAACTCAGAGCTGTCTGGCAGGGCCTTCCCAGATGGCTTGGCACTTTGGGAACAGGAGAGCGTGTAGAAGACGGAAGACGACAGCCAAAGTGGCCAAATCAGGACAAGCCAGCACAACAAGCTCACAGGATGGAGTTATTTCGGCAACATGCTTTGAGCCAGCCTGCCAAAGCCCAGGCTCTGCTCTGAAATACATGTGGCGGGGATGCCAGTGGGGTGACAAAGCACCCTACATTTACTCTCATCCCGTCTCCTCTCAAATCATCCCAGAGGCCCTGCTAGCGACATGCTAGCCTCAGTCATGGTCTCAGGGAGCCTAGGTTGACCCAGACCCCTGGAGTGGTGGTACCAGCTCTGAATCATACCTACCACAGAGCCAGAAGTTTGCAGGAGGCTGAGGGAGCACGAAGCCACGTAGTCTCTGACCACAAACACCTAGCACACCTACATGAGAAGGGGGCTGCCTGATGGCATGCCTGGGGCCGCTCTCCCCACCTCCCAGGCCTGCAGCCTACTGCATACCCACCGAAAATTAACTGGGGCTCACCTGAGGGAGTGGCCCCTCACAGGAGGCAGGTTGCTGCCTGAGACACAGCCAGGAGAGGACCAGGAAGGGCTGTGAGGCTGACGGGCAGGTTGGAGGCTGCTGGCTGAATGCCCCTCCATCTCCAGGCAAGGTAAGGAGCCCGAACCCAGCCTCAGCAGGGTATTTGGCCGAATGGCTAAAGGGTCCTGGCTCGGGTCTGCAGGGTTGATTCCAAGTACCCTTTTAGCAACATTCTGCTCTGCAGCCCAGGAAGTGTCAGACGAGGATGGGAGAGATGCAGATCTCCAAAAGCACCGTCCCACTTCCTAAGGGTAATCAGAAGCCAAGGGTAGCTTTTCCCATTTCTACCTTATCCTGGACAGAGGAGGGTACAACTCCCTCAGTCACTGGAAAATCCAATCTGTTGCTGATAAAAGGGACATGGAGGAAGAATTGCCCTGATGAAAAAACCCATCTCCCCCGTTTTAGGATAATAACCCAAGGTTTGGCTTCTACTGTGGCATCAGAAAGAGGACCAGCACATCAAAGGATACTAACATTTCTATGCCCCCCAAGAATCACTCCCCAGCACCTTAATGCAGAATTCAAGAGTTCTTAATTAGGACCTCTGAAAGCCTAACCCCTTCCCGAAGTCCAAACCAGGCCTCACATGGGCTTGGAGGCCTTGTCTTTGGGTGGAGCACAGGGAAAGGATATGTGAGGGACAGGGCAGAGGCCCCCCAGTGGCACAGTGGTAGAGTGGCGTTTGCTCATCTACCCTGCAGACCGATTCCAAATCGGTCCTGCTCTCAGACAGTCTCAAATGCTGGAGGTGCACTGGACAGACATCGGAGGATGACAACGACCTTGCCGAAGAACACACGACAGACGGGGCCAGAGGGGATGTGGACCAGTGACCCTCTCTGGGGCACCAGGGGACGAGTGGGGGACTCGGATGTTCCTGCAGCTAGAGAGATGAAGTCAGGTAGCGAGGCCAGCCCTGACAGGGCTGCCTGGATCTGGGGTTGAGGACCAGCGTCCGTCAGGCTGGTCTGTTCACTGTGGTTTGGATTTGGTTTTGGATGCTGGTGAACGGTTGAAAAAGCAGCTGTAGCTGGGGCTGAAGAAAGGCTGAGGACAACAGCTCCATCGCCTCTGCCGCCGTTACCTTTCCAGAGGAGCCTGCTGCTCAGTACGCTTTGTTCTTGCTTTAGAGGGTGGGGAGACTTGTCCTCCTTCAGCACCTCCCCGGCAGAGCGAGGGCAGGCTGGCCCCCGTCCAGGACCAGCCACCGGTAAGCCGTCTCGAGTCACGGGACCCAACACGGTTAACACCATCTTTCTGGACCAGGTCTCCATGCCCCACAGCCAAATGCCTTGGCAATTCCAAGGAGCAGTGGCTATGCCGGGCCTCCAGCTGGTGCATGTGGAACTGGAATCATACATCTCAGTTAATCAGCACCTAGGAGATTATGATCCAAGAGGGCTGGTCTCTCCTCTCCTCGCGCAAACATGGGGCCCGCGGGTGGGCCTGCTAGTGACCCCAGGCAGAGGCTCCTTGGCACGAGGCTTCTGGCTTTGACAAGTCCTGGGGACTGAAGCTGGGTGGTGGATGGCCAGGACTCACTGCAACTTGAGCTCCCTCTCATTGTAAAAATCAGACACGGAAAAATTGCACAATACGGTGAGAGAAGTAAAAAGCAGCAGCCGTGAAGGAAGAGAAAGAGGAGGCAAGCAAAAAGATAACCATGAGGGCCTGGGCTTCTAGAAAACCCAACACAGGACAGAGGCAAGGACGTGAGGTGGCTTAAGGGAGAGAAAGAAGGAAGAGTTTTGGTTTTATTGAGAATGGTTTATGGAGGAGTAAGAAAAGAAAGCCAAAAAGTAAGAAAGGAAAAGCCCCATTTGAAGACAGGTTCCTGCTGCTTGAGATGGAGCATCAGGAGCAGGAGGGGGAAGGCAGTGGCGGGGGCCGGGCTCCCCAACCTCCCTGCCGTGCCCCCATGAGAGGATCCCTGTTCCAGCACTTTGGCCTCAAGGAGACTTGAGTTTCTTAGTCCGTGGGGAGGTCCCATTCTCCGCTTTCACTACTCCGTTTTCATGGTAACCTAGGAAGTGAAGGGAGACAGACACACATGGTGTTCCTGCCTGGACTGGAACAGGAGAGGGGCCCGTGAGGGCAGAGCTTGCACATGGGGACCAGCCAAGGGGATGCCTGGCTGCAGCTTCCTGCCAAGACGGGAAACCAGTAGACGCTCGCAGGAGGCCCTTGCTCCCCTCAACGTGACTCTGCTAAAGGTGGTTGGTCTCTGATTGTCCTTTAGCAGGAGGCGGCTGGGATGACATATAGTAACCCAGGAACAGGCCGGGGCCCGCCCGCCTGCTCGCCCAGGCCTCAGGCTGGAACCAGATCCTAGGTGGAATCGCACAGACGCTGCCAGGGGCCTCAGTTTCTCTCCCCCACAGGGCACCAGCCCACTTCCGCGACCACTCCCTGGGAAGGGAGAGTGGAGAGGAGGTAGAGAGGCTGTAGGGACAGGCATTACTCAGAGGCCTGATACTCCTCTGGCAGAAAAAAACTGCTTTTTACTGTTGTGGAAAACACCTCCATGTGCTTGCTCAAAGTCAATCTGGCTGCAGCCTCACGCCCCACATCCCCTCCCAGCCAGGCCTGACTCGTCACACCCAGCCCCGCACGTGTCTGGTTCAAACACACGGGAGCCCTTGCCAAGCAGGCCACACCTGGAGCAAGGCAGGTGAGTCAGGGAACAGAGCCCGGTGCAGACAGGCCCCCGGGCTGCACAGAACATGCAGGCTGCCAGTGGGCCTGGGACCTGGCAGAGGCGGGAAGTTACTGGAGCGTGGCCAGGGCCAGAGGCAAAGCGGGCATCCCACCCTTTCCGCCCACCCAGCACTGTATCGCCCCTAGTCATTCTTGAAGACAGGAGAGGAGCCAGCGGCCTGGGAGGCGGGGGATACCGAGATGCGGAGCAAGAGGGCAGGTGAGGACAGGGCTGCTGGGCTGCACAGGGAACAGGCGGCAGATCTTGGCTGGGGTTCAGAAGCCACTTCGAGGACATGCTTCCGGCCACAGCTCCCCAGCCGGTTGCTGCCCTGCCCCACCGCGGCCAGCCTCACCCACAAAGTGTCCCTGGCCCATGCCCAGCCACGTGCCAGTTAGGCCCCGGCAGGGGCCGAGGACCCAGGGCCCCAGGGAAGGACAGGGGAGCGGCAGGGCTGGTCTGGGTGGAGGAGCCGAGCCCGGGCCCCTCCCCACCCATCCCAGACCCACTTCTGTGTCTACCTGCCCACGGGCCCAGCACTCACCAGATTCCCTCTTGACGAGCCTGGCCGGCAGTCTGGGGGCAGCTGGGACTCTCCGCTTGGCACTCTGCTCATTCCAATATTCCCGCCAGTGTCGCAGCTGGGAGTGGATGAAGCGCCACATGAGCCAGGCCTGGGCAGCGCACACCAGCAGCAGCACACAGAGCCTGCGGAGGTACAGGGCGGTGGGCTCGGGAGTCGCCTCAGGGCAGAGCAGGAGACCAGGGCAGGAACCCCACAGCTCCCCTGGCCATCACCCTGGGCACCAGCACGCCCCCATCCTGCCACCCGCACGAGGGAGGGCGTGTGGTTCAGTGCCGGTCTCCGCTCTAGTGCACTTCAGGGCTGGTGACAAAGAGATGGGGTCTAGGGACACCAGGGAGGAGGAGGGGACATCTGCATGTCCAGCTCCAGAGTCACTGGCTTCATGGCCTGTCTTTTCTGTACCCACAACAAACAGCATGACTAAGCTCCATGTACATATACTGAAAGAATTCAACTGAATTGAATTACAATACAGCAGAATAATTCTAGAAGAGTGGCTTCTCATTTAGAATGCCACTTAAAAGCTGAGCAACAATGGATCAATCACACACCCTCCCAGGCCCAAGGGTCACATGGGAACACAACAACTTCCTCCCCACTTTCCCTGCTACTATGGGAGGCCACAGGCCGCGCTGCTGAGCACACGTGGCCGTGATGATCAGCTGAGGGGCTAGAGAGGTCACCTATCATGCACTTGAAGCACTGGACAAGGGGGAGGGGATTCCGGCTTGGGGACCTCGACTAGAGTCCCAGCAGGTGGTGGAGATGGTTTTGCTGGAGGCAGAAGGCTGGCACTCCTTCTCCCCTCAGGCCTGATGTCTACAGATCTCCAGCTAAACATCAATGTGCCGGAGACCCCAGGGGTCTATTGCCCCCTGACCTTCTGAAGTTGTGCCAAGTTCAGGAGGCTCCTGGCAGCACTCAGGGAGCCTTGATTTATCTCCGGGGGCTTTTTCCCAACTCACCTGCAGAGTAAGGTGTTGAAGTTTCCTTTCTCGGGATCAAAGGCCTGGTTTTCTATGCGAGCGAGTCCAAAACCGATGGCCAGCACGGCGAGTGTGAGGATGAAGAGGCGGGTGACCCCAAACACAGCAGCCCAGGCATTAAACCTGCTCGTGGAGGTGGCAAAGGGACGTCAGCCTTTAGGGCCGGTGAGGGAGCTTTCACCCACTTCTCCAGAAGCAACGCCAAGTGGAAAGAGGGTGTAAAGGTAGCGCATCGGGGTGTTTGAGGGAGGAGATCTCTGGAGTAAGATACTCTAAAAAAACAACCCTGGGGTTCCATCTGCAGGAAGGGGCACTATCAGCCAGGCCTCATGGGAGGCTCCTGCCCACAGCACTGTGAGCGGGCCAGCCTGCTTTACACTACTTACAGCTTCTCGTTGTTCTCATCGGCAAAGTAGAAGAGTCGAGCCATGTGGAAGAGGAACTCAGTTGAGTACTGCAGCAGCAGCAAGATTAGGCCCAGGCGGCTGAGGCTAGGAGAAACGGACAAGCCTCACAGTTCCCCCCTGGGATGCCACAGAGGGTGAGGCACCCCGCACCCTGGGCTCTGCTCTCCTCGCCAGCTTTCCCTGGCTGGCCCTCCTCACCCTACAGGATTCAGTTCTGCCGTCACACCTTTAACATAATACTGAATCCCGCAGGCCTTCGCCTGTCCTGTCTGGGTCAGGGGCCCCTCACCGCTCCCACAGTGAACCTAGCTTAGGCTCCACGGCACCAGTCACCATGCATTCTTTACCGGGCCCAGGACCCAGTGCATAAAAGGTGCTCAGAACAAGTGACTGAGCTTTGTACACAGGAATACAAAGGATTCCCGTCTGGTTTTTCATTATCCAAGTCTTCACAGCTAAGAGGTACAAGAAGAAGCAAAACTCAACATAATGCAAAGAGATGTGCTACTGAACCCACCTCTTAAAAATCTGCACCCACGCAGACACCCCCTCCCCTCAATTCCAGGCGTGGTGGCGTTACCGGCTTTCTTAGGCGGTTTGCTACAGATGTCAACTGTAGCTCAAATGGAGAAAGACTGCGAAGGGAAACCGCAGACCCTGCTGAACATGCAGGGCTTCAGGCAGTCAATAAGAAAATGTGGGAGCAGCCCCACAGGCTGTGCTAATGAAGGGCCCGGCCAATTCCACCCAACAAAACCAAAGCAGTGCAGAATCCAGTGGGGTGGTCACTGGGTCCTGAGGATGGTCAAGAGAATGATGGGAGCACTACCCAAGGTCTTCACGTGACCTATAAAGTCCAATATGACCATGCCCAGTGACCTCATGTCAAAACTCATTTTCTGCATTCCAGCCACGGTGGGCTTTACGAACACCTCAGGGCCTCTGCACCTGCTGTTTCTCTGCACACACAGCTCTCCCCCCAGATCTTCACATGCCTGACTCTCGTCATACCTGCCTCAACCTGAGTCACCTCCCTCCCCACAACAAAGGTGCCACGTAGACAGGTCACTGTTACATTACCCTACTTTATTGTTTTAGAGAGTACACTAGTGAGCAGGGGAGAGAAGCAGAGGGACAGGGAGACAAAGAGACAAAATGAATGAATGAATGAATGAATATCTCAGGGGGGGGGGGAGAGAGGGAGAGAGGGAGAGAGGGACAGAGGGACAGAGGGACAGAGGGACAGAGGGACAGAGGGACAGAGGGACAGAGGGACAGAGGGAAAATATCTCAAGCAGGCTCCATACCCAATGAGGAGCCCAATGTAGGGCTTGATCTCATGACCCTGTGACCATGACCTGAACAGAAATCAAGAGTCAGACGTTCAACCAACTAAGCCACCCAGGCGCCCCTAGTATTTTCTTCATCGCATTTACCAACACAGGAAGCTATTTTCTTGTTAATTGTCTGACTCCCTCTATATTGGACACCCCAGGAGAACAAGGCCTTGGTCTGACTTCACCCAGGGGTAACTTCAGCTCCAAGAGCAGTGCCTGGCCCAGAGGAGGAGCTCAGGTACGTGTCAAGCAAGTGAAGGCCTCTAAAAGTCAAGCTCTTCACCAAAACAAGACTCTGCAATCATTCAGCATTTCAGAGGCCTGCCTCCCTTGGGAAATCCTGTAGTCAGGGGTCTCTCCTGTCCCCACACTCACTTCTGAAAACCACAGCAAGGATGGAAGCAAAGGAAGGCCAGGCCACAGTCCTTACAGGAGCAGAGAGGCGGCTGCATCAGCATCGCTGGAAAGGGAATGGGCCTCGTTTTGGAGGGCCTGCTGCTGCCTGCCCTCTCGCTTCTATCCTCATCCCAAAACAAGAATCACAGGACTCGCCCAAACAGGGTCTGACACCTGCCCTTCTCCTTCCGTGGGACACATCAGCTGTGGGAAAAGCGGATCTTAGAGCATCTCCTTTCTTTGGGAGGAACACTGACGATACAGCAGGGACCCGACAAGTAGCAAGAAGCTCTCTTTCCACGTGGTCCTGCCTGAAGGTTCTCACCCTGGTCCTCGCCACACACTGCTGGGTGCAGCACAAGAGCAAGGCTGGTCCCACCATAGAGGCTTTGGCCTCCAAGGACCCATCCAGGTGTCGATGCTATTTCACGCCTCCAGGGATAAGAGCATATTTGAGAGCTGCCATCCTCCTAATTCCATTACCCCAGGTCCGTCATCCTCACAGGAAGCCTGCTGTGAGGGCCTAGGAGATGACAGGCCCAAGGACCTCCAAGCAGCTTAGCAGAAAGTTATACATCACAAACCCTTAAAACGTCAGCCCAGAGAAAGTACAGGGTGTTCTCCTATCCTGCTCGGATAAAGCTCAGGAAAATTCCAAATTAGCAACAACATATCTACTCATCAGTAGGATTCTTTTTGTAAAAGACACTCAAGGCCAAACACCATGGCCATTCCTCCGACTTCAAAGGCACGGTTCAAGTGCTAGCATCCCTCGAAGCCTTCCCTGGCTCTGTCTCGGGATGCGTTAGTCCCTCTTCTGGGTTCCCACGGCAGATGACCCATATTGTAGCACAGCCATCATCTCATTAAGCTGTCCTGACCTGTGCCTCTGCTGTCACTCCTACTAGGCTGACCATGAACCACTAAAGACAAGGGAATCGCCACCTCTGTATCCCCAGGTCTTAGCACGGTGCTTGGCAAACAGAAGGTGTGCAGTAACCGCCTCCTAACTGAATGTGTGGAGAGATGCATGGACATAAAAGGGCACAGAAATGTGACAGGCTCTGGGATCTCACTCACTTTAAGAGGTATGCTCCAGCTATGTGGACCAGGTACAGACAGATGTACTGGAGCTGGCGGGGAATTTCCTCCTGCAAACAAGAGAAGCAGGCAGTAAATGTGCTCATCCCCACCTCCTCTCCGCAGAGGGGAGGTACAGAGGGGCGGCGAGAGGGCAGCAGGCCGGGTTGCTCTGACATAGACAGTCCCAGGTCACACCAGAGGCCCATGCACCAGGCTGCTGGGAAGTCAGAGGACGAGGTGCTGGCTTCAGGTCCATGTGGCAGGGCTGGGTTGAGAAAGAAGAGACAGGGACTGGGGAACAGGGCTTCTGGAAATAATTCAGAGGAAGGCTATTTAAAAAAAAAAAAAAAAAAAAAAAGACTGGGAAAGGCAAAAACCTCTGATCCACTACCCGGAAGACAAGAGGTAGACCTCCCCCAAAGCCCCATGTCTAGTGTGGGCGGCAGGAGACCCACTGGTGGCCTGCTCTCAGGGAGATCTTTGCGGAGACTTCGCTGGCTCAGCATTTTCCTCAACCCGCCAACACGTCCCCTGTCCCCACCCAGCTCTGCGCTTCTGGAGGAAGGCTCAGGGGAAGGAGGCTGGGAAGAGCAGGAGGGGAGTGAAGGGCACGCACCTTCCAAGGGGGAAACGAGTACTCACCTTCCGTACCTTCTGGAAGTACAGCTCAGGCAGTGCATGCAGCCAGTAGGCCAGCTGGCACAGGTAGAAAAACTTCACCTGGAAGCTGGAGACAAGGAAACGAGTCACACGGGAGGGAGAAGACTATCCCTGCAGGTGCTCGCAAAACACAGGACAAAAAGGTGAGGCCCAGGACCGTGGGACGAGCTGGGCCAGGACTGCGGGAGGGAGGCCCCACACCCGGGGACCCTGCTCCAGAGACGGGACCACTTAATGGGACACGGAGTCCACAGAAAGAAACAAAAATGGTGAAAAGAGTACAGAGGAGGAAGGTTCTTCAGCTTGGAGAAGGGAAGGCTGAGCAAGGACAAGGAAGACGGGGCACCAATATACTGAAGAGTGAACAGATTTAAGCAAAGCAGGGTCCTCGTGCAGCTGTTAGCCCTGTGCTGTTGTGGTTCTGAAGGGTGGCCAGGAACGGCCGGGAGGGTGTCCTGTGGGAGGCAGACCTGGTGCTGCCCTTCTGGGGTCTTGGCAGCACAGAGCAGGAGGGGAAGGGGGTGCTGCCTCTGGAGGGGCACCCGCCACGCGAGGCTGGGTGGACGGTGTGTGGTGCACGAATGCAGGTCACCAAGGACGTACAAAGCCCAGAGAGCGTTACGGAGATGCTCCGCTTGCGTATCCGTCTTCCGGCCGTTTAGGTGCCTGCTGTGGACTAAATGTGTGCGTCCCCTCAAAATTCCTATGTTGGAACCCGAATCCCAATGTGACGGTGCTAGGAGGTGGGGGCCTTTGGGAGGAGATCTAGCAGTGAGGACGGGGACCTCAGTAATGGGATTCGTGCCCTCGTCAAACAGACCCCAGAGGGCTCCTTCTCTGCTCCTCCACATGAGGATACGGCCAGAAGACAGCCATCTATGAACCAGACATCAAAACTGCTGGCGTCCTCATCTTGGGCTTTTCAGCCTCCAGAACTGTGAGAAGTTTCTGTTGTTTATAAGCCACGCAGCCTACGGGGTCCTGGCACAGCAGCCTGAGCTAGGACACCGCTCCGTGACGGGGGCTACCGCAGAAGACATTTCATTTGGGGGTTGTCCAGTCAAGCGCCCTAGGAGGAAGCAGCTCCCGGACGAGACTGCCATCTACAACACTGGGCCCCCACAGGCTCAGGGTGCGACCTGCTCCTCCTGCCAGCTGGCCTGGAGTTCTCTGGGGTGGGGAAGCCGGTGGACCAGCTTGCTCCTCCCTGGAGACCAAGTCATGAGAATACTCACGGGAGGTACACGTGTGGGTAGTCTTCCCAGAGGCTTCTTGGGTTTGTTAAATATCCTTCCTGTAGTGGGCAAGAAGAGGTAGTGTTTAGAGATGTGGATATGAGACCCGCTGGGGCCCTGGGCAGGCCTAGGGGTCAGGGGCACATCCAATCCCCAGCTGCCAGGAAGAGGAAGGTACAGGAAACGTGAAAACGAAGGCCTTCTCTGAATGGGAGCCACCCGGCCCTCAACTGGCTTCTTTATTGTGAAAATGCTCTACTCTGGGGTTTGAAGACCTGTGTCTGGACATGGATCTGGGACTTACTGGCTCTAGCCTCTGAGCAAGCTCGTCTCCCTAAGCTTCAGTTGGGTCATCTTTAAATGAGGACAAAAATACCCTCCCAGAGTTATTGTTAGAAATAAATGTGATAGCTCATGTTTATGTGTCTAGCATGATGCCTGGCATGAACGCACTCAGGAAATGCTTGTAGAATGAGTAAGCACGTGACCTCTAGAATCACCATCCAATGGAAAAATGAAAAGCCTGCTTTGGCTTTTCACAACTCTGGCAGTAAAAAGAATGCAGGACCGCACAGGCCACCCTAGGAGGCCTCACCCCAGAGGCCTTGTAAGTGTGATACATACCACACTGGGTCATCATTGCGAGAGATCTCCATTACTCTGCAAGCTCATGGGTCTCATCATGCCCTTCTTTACACCTCCAGCACCTAGCCCAGGGCCTATTACAGAGTGGGCGAGGTAACCTGAAAACCCTCCCATCACGAAACATCTAGAAATGCTGAGTGAAACCTAGCAACTAATTCTTTTGTATTCAAAAAGTTTTTACCAGAAAGGGAAAACCTTTGGAATTCAAAAGGGCTAGAAGGCTAAAAGCCTAAGCAGTAAGGGGAGGCTGAGGCAGCCCACAAGGCCCTAGTCTTGGGCCAGGGTGGTCATGCCCATGTGGGAACAGAAGATGATGCCTCGCGAGTTGGAGCCCAAGACCCTTGTATAAAATCAGGATCCCTGGGGCACCTGGGTGGCTCAGTCGGTTAAGTGTCCAACTTCGGCTCAGATCATGATCTCATGGTCAGTGAGTTTGAGCCCCGTGTCGGGCTCTGTGCTGACAGCTCAGAGCCCGGAGCCTGCTTCAGACTGTGTGTCTCCCTCTCTCTCTGCCCGTCCCCCGCTCGTTCTCATTCTCTCTCCTTCCCTCTCAAAAATAAACAAACATTGAAAAAGATTTTTAAAAATATCAGGACCCCTCAATGGCTACAAACTTCAAGAGAAGGTTAGACTAGAGTCTGCATTAGTATGGATTAGACTAGAGCAAGGGTCGACTATAGTCTGGCAACAATAAAAGGAGATAAAGAAGCTGTTTGCACACCCTGTGCTCAGGATGAAAACTAAAATATATTAGCCCTTGAAAATCTGTAACCTTGGGTTCACTTTCAGATGGGTTTGGAGTTCAAATTTATAACCACTTGTATGGTCCAGGAACCACCAAGCTAAGAAATTAGTGTTAATGCTACTGTGACACCATTGGGACATACTCTCATCCAAGGATGTACAGGATTCTCATGCATTAAAATCTTGCTAAAGAGGAGATTACAATCCAAAATTACAAAACATAAGAGGAAACAATCCACCATGAGCAAGAGTCAGCTGACGTTACAGGAATCCAATAAAAACTTGTTGGTTGAATGAATGAATCAATGATGAACGCTTTAGGCGATTTCTCCCTTCTGAGGGAAAAAACAAGGCTCTTATTTGTCACTCAGAGATGGTTAGATCAATATGACCCCATTCCACAAACAGGCTAATAAAGGAAAAGACAGGAAGTAGCTCCTGAAATGAGATGTTTTTTCAGCAGCATAGGTGAAATCTGAGCTGGGCCACCAACGTCCTGGCCCAATAACCTCAAGCCCAGTTCCTCAGTAAGTCAGAAAATAAACTGAGCTGGCAGCTTTGATGAGGAGACCGAGACTCAAATGTCACACTGGGACTAAGATCAGGGCATTAGCAGTGCTCAAAGCCAACGTGGTTCAGGGACAAACACTTGACTTACTGCCTCGTGGATCCACAGCTGTGTTTCCACGTGAGGCCTGACCTACCCACCCTCAAGTCACTACATTACCTTGGACATCTCAGGTACAGTCCCCAGCCCCCAGCCCACAAGCTGGGGCCCCATTAGCACAGTGACCAAAGTGACAGGTCCAGTCAGGCACATGCACCAGTGTGGTCATGGTAACATTTCTGAAGGAAAAGGTCTCTCCCCAACCCCTCACAGCCTCACTCCCAGTCCTTTCTTCCTACCACTGCCTCCTCCCTCAGTCACACACAGATGGAAAGTTCCGGGGCCTCTGGAGGGTGACAGGAGCACTTTGCCACACCGCTGCTATCGGGCTCTGCCTTCCCTCTCTGCTGCTCACGAGGACCCAGGCACACAGCCGTATATATGGTCTTCCACTCTCTACCTCAGTCCAGGGAAATCAGAGGTAAGAACGCACCATGATGGAAGAAGCAGCAATGTATTTAAGGAGGAAAATGGTACATCTGGGACTGAGGTGGGAGGACAACTTCTGCCCAAAAAGAGGCCGCCCAAGAGAAGCAGCATGGAGCAAAACCTAAAAGCCCAGATGATCTTGTGATTTTAAACACGAACCTCCTTGGCCTGGCGCCTTTTCTTAGGAGACAAGGAGGTCAGAACTTTTAAGCCAACAAGCCAAGAAAACTCCCCAGAAAAATGCCGCCTGCTTGTGAATGTCCAGTCCACAGGGAGTTCAGGGAGGGTATGCAGGGGGGAGGGTGGGGGAGTCGGAGGAAAATGACTCACCGCTCTGAGAACAGCCTTTTCCAGACCTCGGGCCAGGCAGCTGCCTGAGGGCGGCCTGGGGCCGGGGTGCCCTCAGAGGTCTGGCAGGCCATGTACCTGAGATCATGGGGGGCCAAGAGGGCTAGAGCCAGCACCTGCACCCCACCCCCCTCTGAATCCCAGGCCCCATCAGGCACTGGGAGAGGGGCCTGGGTACTTTTGAAATCCTTTGTTATCTCCTTAACCTACGAGCTAAGTGAGGCCTGAGCAAACTGGAGCAATCTCTCCCCACCCCACCCCTGCCCTGCAGCCTTCCTTTTTGGTGAATGGACAAACAGAACCACAGAAACAGCAGAATCCAGTCATAACACAGCCACAGTTGCTACCTAGATTCAGACATACCAATAGCGTTTGTCCTTCAGAAACAATCATGTACTAAAGTTCTGCTCTGAGTAGCCAGTCTGTTAACAGGAAATCAGTCCAGGGTGAAGAGCATTCCCTATACCAGGCTCTCAAGGAGCACCAGACTTCAGGATTTAAAACATGAAGGGAAACATCCCCAGGAAGCCGGCACAGAGACCAAACATGGCCCGCCCTGCTTTCCCCTATAGAGTGCTCGTGTTTTGTTGTGTTTTCTAAACAGTCAATAGGAAGCAGTCCATAGTAGGTTAACAGTAGGAGGTTGATCTTTTCATAAATTATTGGTCAGTCCAGTCACACTCTCATCACTCTGCTTGTATAAATGCAGAGAGAAATGTCCGAACCCCACCGCCCAAAACCAGTTACTTCTAGGGGGAGGGATCTGGGGCAAATTTTTTTACTTAAAAAAAAAAAAAAAAAAAAAAAAAACCTTTTATGTATTTCTTATGTAATAGACGGTCATCTAGAAGTTTACAAAAACAACTGACTTGTTATTTTAAAAGCAGTTAAGGGCCAGAGCAAGAAGACATAACTGCTGCTTACCCCCTCAGTCTCACAACCACTGTTTAGTGAGCACTTAGTACCTGCCGGGCTCTGCACTAGAGACGCTGTGAGCATGCAGGCTGTTCACAAGCAGCTCGGGGTCTAGTGGGACAGACAGACAGCACGGAATATATGCGTGAATGAGAAAAATGCCACAGCAATGGGTGTAGTGCATGCAGTACAAACTGGGGGAGGGGGTTCTCTGAGGAGATGGCATTTATGTGGAGACTCAGATGGGAAGGAGTCGGCCGTGGGATTCAGGGGGTGGAGCATGTGAGGAGAGGAACCGCCCCCGCAAAGCGTAAGAATCAGGAACAGCCAGGAGAGGTAGAGGAGCAGAGGTAATAGTGGGATCCAGATCACAGGAGCGAGGAAGATAATGGCTTAACTGGCTGCAAGAGGGACAGGGGCTTTTACATAAGGGTGCAGGACTTCATTTATGTTCTAAAAAGACCTGTCTGGCTAAGCAGAAGAAAACGGATTGTGGAGGGAGGCTACAAGAGAGGAAATGTCTCCATCTAGAAGGACGATGGTCAGTGGTCCAGGCAAGAGATAATGGCAGTTTGGACTGTGGAGTAGGACTTCCCAACCTTGGCACTACCAACATCTGGGGCTGGGTAATTCTCGGTGGTGGGGGCTGTCCCGTGCGGTGCAGGACATTCAGCAGCACTCCTGGGGTCCACCCGCCAGCCCCATGTCCCCAGGGGCCAAAATCTCCCCTGTGGAAACTGGTGGGCCAGGCTACAGCATGGATAGAACTTCAATGAGCTCTGCAGGTGGGGTTCACAGGACCTGCTGATGAACTGACTGCAGACAGTAGAAGACAAGAATCAAGTAAGATTTCATCCTAACAGAAAAATAGGATTTAAGAAACACTTAGCTATTTCTCACTCCTTTTACAAAACTACCCTCCCTTCCTCTTCAATCATCTTTATTCCCTGCAGGATGGTGCAGTGGGAGGAGAGGAGGGCCAGGAGCTGCATGGTGCTCTTAGGAGTTGGGGGTCACTGGAGCTTTCCAGGGTCCCCATGGCCCCCACTTTCTACTGCAGATGTTGAGTGGGGAACTGGCTGTCACCATAATAAAGGCCTGTCATGAGCTTCCCCAAGTAAAGTGCTGCATGCTGTCAGACTAATGAGCATCATTTTTAAGCCCCTGAAGGCCTGAGAGAAACAAAGAGCAGTTGAGCATTTAACGCACTGGAAGAGACGTCACATAACGTGGCTTTTGGCCTCCAGAATCTGGTCTAAATGTGTCACAGCTCCAGGAGAATATCTGGGGCTGAAGTAGGAGGGGTAGAAGTGATTCAGAGACGAGGCAATGTTTCTTCTGAAAGACCCTGAGGCCATTCAGCCTCAAAGCAGCAGAGGGACTCCACGGGCAAACACCGAGAGGTTGGGAGAAGTCTGAAAGGCAGCATTACCTAGACCTGAAGGGGCCTGGACACACACTGTGCAACATTAAGGGGCGCTCCTCATATGGGCCACACTGCACATCTTTCCCTCTGGGGACAGTCTAACATGGCAGTCCTGCTCAAGAGGACAGAAGCCTCAGGTCCTACATTTAAAATTCCTAATGTTCTGTTTAGGAAACGGTTCCATGATTAAAGGATAAGAGACATACAAGCAATATACACAAGGACATGCAGACTCCTGCTCTCAGAACGTGAATTCAGCGTTGAGCTCTGGAAGCAGAGAGTTCCTTAGGATGTAAAAGTTCATCACTGTCACTGAAGGAAGAGGAAGCGGGTGAGAGGTCAGCGGAAGGCAGGGAATGAGAGGTCAGCAGAAGGCAGGGAAGGGAACTTAGAGATCACAGGGTTGCTGAATTTTCCAAGCCCTAGGCCTGTGTTTCTCACAGGACGACTCTAGCTCTAGAAAAAGGGACCAAGTTACAGACAGGAGTTATTTCACATGGGGGTGGGGGGCTTCTAATTAAACACTTTCATGCATCACAGGCCAGGTCTTGTTACAGCGAACCCCAAAGGACTGTCCGCATTCCTTGCTAGTAAGGAATTCTGGTGTATCAAAGGCTGCTTGAAATAAGACTCCTATTGTGTAGAAAGGAGAGGTAGATAAATTGTCTGGTTCCCCAGGCATTTGTGGGAATGACACTGACTCTCACAGGATTTGATGTGCGGACAAGGGGATGCTTGCAGGAGGCCAGTGTGGTAAAACAGAAAGTGTGCTGAACTTGGAACCAGACTCCTAAGTCCCAGTCTGGTCCTTGCCACCTCAGAACCCCATGACCATGGGGACACTGCAAAATTTGATCTTGGATGCCATCAATCTATCAACATGGGGACCAGAATAAACAAACAACTCATCTCGTGGGATAGCACTGGTAGGAGGACACTGTCAAATGATACAGAGCTGTGTAGAGGTATGGTACCATTATCATAGCATCACAGAATAACTATAACAAGGGTTTATTTTTGGACAAGAGGGCTCTCTGCAGCTTTAAAAGAGCATCTACACCATCTGGCCCCTCTCTCCTACCATGAGGATACAAAAATAGTAGTAGTTCCAAGAAACTGCTCGAAGCTTTTACAAACTGCTCCTGACTCTTTTCCTTCCCTGCTTAGCCCTTCACGGTCATTTTATCAGCCATCTGAGAAGAGATGTGTTGCTGGAAGCCCAGGCCCTGTGCTTCAGCGGTCCCCGGGGCCACTCACCGTCACCACCACGTAGAAGCACCATACCACAGAGCTGAGATGAAAGACGACCAGCTGTCCAGATTCGTTGAACTTGCTGTGTTTCACCTTGGAGAGGTGAAGCCGTTTGCTGATTTTCTAAAGAATAAAGAGAATCCTGCATATTAATATATGCAGGTGCATTCGTAATGGGTGGCTTCAAACTCCCATTTTCTACCCTTGAAAGGATAGCAGTCTGAAGCGGCCATGGCTCAGGCCATTCAGTGTAAGCCTGCTGTGTGCATGGAGCGCTCAGTTCAAGGCAAGCATGTTGAGAAAGCGGCCAGATTGAGGTCCTCAGCCTAGATGTAAAGAAAACACCCCACAATCAGGCCACATATGACAGACCCATAAGCACTGTGTCTTGCCATTTCGGGCAGCTGTCCCCTCATGCAGTAAACGCTGCATCCCATGCACTAAGAAGGCTGTGAGAGGGGACAGAAACCACAGTGTGTCACAATGGATGTCCAGTCAATAGGACCAATCAGGGCATGCAGATTAGGAGGGAAAGGGGCACAGAGCTGCAGTGTCCTCTAAGGCGAGGCCCTTCTGCCCACCGCATCTCCCCAGCTTGTGATCTCAGAATCCAGACAGCGTCACTCACATCTAAAATGTACTCCTGAACCACAGCGTGCAAGATGATGGTGATGAAGACGTAGAACAAGATGGTGACCAGATCCTTCGGCCCATAGTGGTAGTGCACAGTCTCACTATCTGTGGAGGTAAGAAAAGCCATGTCAGCATCCCCGGGCTGAGGAAATGCTCTGGGACCCCAAACTGAAGAGATCTCTGAAGCAGAAGGCGCCATGCCGTACCCCTAGACTTGGAAGAAACCTTTTTCCCTAGAATCCTACCCACCCCGTGGGCGTCGCCCTTGGTAAGTACCAATGGGGAAGATTAAGGAGAACCAAGCACAAATGGTGATGACTACATCTCCTGCATCTGGGCAGGAGAGCGCAGTGGTTAGGAGCCAGGATAAGAGACAAGCCATCTCGATCGCTCCCTGGCTGTGCAACTATACAGAAGTGACCAACCTCTCTGAGCCACAATTTCCATCCCTGGAAGATGGAACTGTCGTCTTCAGCACGGAAGCATGGAGTAGGGGTTAGGAGCGTGGACTCAGAAGCCCGAGTTTATATCACAGCTCACTCATTACCTATGTGACTTTGGGGCACCTCTATATGTGACTTTTCTGTGCCTCAGTTTCCTCATCTGTAAAACGAGAGTAACAGCAGTTCCTGTATCGTAAGGTTTCCCTCAGAATCAGACGGCTTCAAAGCAAAGTGCAGAGAACAATATCTAGTACATAGCAAGTGCCATATGTATATTTGTTATTATTTCTGTTGTTGGGCTAGTGTGAGGATTAAATGAAATAATTTGTATCAAGATGATTATCACCGTGCCTACACCCATGGCAAACATGCCATAAATGGCAGTCTATTAAAATATTATTTAATAGTAATAAATTAGACAGCATCCCAGACATGTAATAAGCCTTGTATAGCCCTGCTGTGGCGGCCTCGTTCTCCACGGACAGAGGAGGATTTATACTTTTGTTCCAGTTAGCAGGTTAGGGTTGCAAGGGCTCATGAACCCGCGCTGGGTTCTGTAAACGCCCCCCTGGCTCCACCAAGCAGACTCGCTGGCTGCCTTTCCAGCTGTGCTGTGCTCACGCCGAGTCACACACACATGAGTCATCTGTCTCTGCCAGGATGCGTTTACCAGAAGGTGGACCAGGGCCGGTGAGTTTCGGGGTGGCCACGGAGCGAAGCAGAGCTGACTGGGTCACGCTGGGAGTCAAACCATCCCCTCTGCCTCCCGGGACAGAGAGAACGGGATGGTCCACGGCGCTGAGTGGGGAGAGGGCAGCGAGCACGTGAACTCTGGAATCAGACTGACTTGCCTTTTTCCTCTCCCTCCTCCTTTCCACAAAAACCTACTCTGTAAGGGGCACTGGGCTAACTGCCGGAGTGTGGAGATAAGAGATACTGGCCGGACTTCAGAGCACTCAGACCAGTGAGGAGACGGATAAGTAAACGTACAATTACCCTACAGACAGGCACGTGGGGCCAAGAGGCAAAGAGAGCGCCCCAGCGGGCCCCGGCAGGCCAGGGCCCAACCCTGTCTGGGTGGGCGCAGTGGGCAGCAGGTCAAGGTGAACAGGAGGACACCAGAACTTGGGGAGAAGCACAGGGCGGGGAGGGGGGCATCTAGGCTGAGGAGGTAGTGTCTGCACAGGCTGCAGGGAATGAGACCGCAGCGCCTGTTGAGTGCCCGGGTGCCGCGTGAAAGGTGGTGGGCTTTGTCCTGGGGGCAACATGGGACACATGGAAGAATTCAAATCCAACAGGCAAATGACGAAATATGGGTTTTGGAAAGTTTACTCTGGCAGCAGTGAACAGCGCCGTGCCTGGAGGCGAAGACACCAGTCAGGGAGCTGCCTCCAGATCCACAATAAGGAAGCATGGAGGCCTGAATTAAAGCAGGATGAGAGACGGAGAGGGCTGTCAGTGAGACAACGGGCAAGACAGGGGACTGGCCCACCCAGGGGCTGAGGGCTGGGAGGGGGAGTCACGCACTGGCCGGCAGAGAAGGCACTAGAGGCAAGAGGATGGCTGCGATGACACTTTCCTAGCCTCCTTCAGAATGGAGGACCAGAGGAGACAAGTTCAATTGTAGTATATTTTGAAACTATAAAATAACTGAACGCATACAGAGTTCCATCAAGACCAGCCTCACGAGTTATGGGCGCCTGGGTGGCTCAGTCGGTTAAGTGTCCAACTTCGGCTCAGGTCATGGTCTCACGGTCCAGGAGTTCAAGCCCCGCGTCAGGCTCTATGCTGACAGCTCGGAGCCTGGAGCCTGCTTTGGATTCTCTGTCTCCCTCTCTGTGTCCCTCCCCTGCTTGCACCCTGTCTCTCTCAAAAATAAACATTAAAATTTTTTTTTAAAAAAAGACTAGCATCCCTAGGCAAAATGGGATTTAAACTCAAGTATAGTCTAACAGTAGTGAAATAACACCTGTCAAGACTTTGGGTTATCTTCTTTAAGGCCTATTCAGGGTCACCTGTTATTCTTCACCCCCAAATGCCATGGTTCCAAAGAGATGTGACCATAGCCTTAGACCCCTCTTGAAACAAGAATCAGTGCATGAGTTAATACATTCTTTTGTTCCTTCGCTGTTGAGAGCCACATGCATGTTTTTCATCAACAAATAAACCATGTGCAGAGCTCCATTCTGGGTGCTGGGAGAAGACCATGAAGGATGGGCACAGACCTGCCCTCTTGGAGGTTAGTGGATATGCACCAAATTCTCATACTTAAAAACTACAGAGGCTAAAACTACAACACAGCAACAACCAAAAAACTGAAACAACCAGATTAAAAATGGGCAAAGGATGTGAACAGACATTTATCTAAAAAAGACATACAACTAGAGGCACTTGATTAAGCGTCCAATTTCGGCTCAGGTCACGATTTCACGATTCGTGAGTTTGAGCCCCACATCAGGCTTGCTGCTGCCAGCACAGAGCCTACTTCTGATTCTCTGTCCCCCTCTCTCTCTGCCCCTCCCCCCTCCTCTCAAAAATAAATAAACTTAAAAAAAAAAAAGATGTACAAATGGTCAACATGTATGTGACAAAGTGCTCACCATCATTACTGTTAGGGAAATACAAATTGAAACCACCCCACATCCATCAGAATGGCTACAATTAAAAAAAAAATGAAAAAGAACAGAAAATAACAAGCATTGATGAGGACGTAGATAAATTCGAACTTTTATGCACTGTAAAATGGTAGTCACTATGGAAAACAGTATGGTCGTTCCTAAAAAATTAAAAATAGTAAACTCAAAATGGATTAAAGACCTAACTGTAAGATCTGAAGCCATAAAAACTCCTAAACAAACAAAAACATAGGCAGTAATCTCTTGGACATCAGCCTTAGCAACATTTTTCTGGATATATCCCCTAAGGCAAGGGAAACAAAAGCAAAAATAAACTATTGGGCCTACTCCAAAATAAAAAGGTTTTGCACTGCAAAGGAAACCATCAACAAAACAAAAAGGCAACCTACAAACTGGAAGGAGATTATTTGCAAGTGATCTAATAAACAGTTAATATGCAAAATATATAAAGAATTTATACAAGTCAACACACACACACAATAATAATCTGATTAAAAATGAGCACAAGACCTGAATAGACAGGTTTCCAAAGAAGACATACAGATGGCCAACACACATGAAAACATGTTCAACATCACTAATCATCTGGGAAATGCAAATCAAAACTACAATGAGAGAATACCTCACACCTGTCAGAATGGCTAGAATCAGACAAGAAATAACAATCGTTGGTGAGAATGTGGAGAATAGGGAACCCCTGTGCACTGTTGGTGGGGATGTAAATTGGTCCAACTACTGTGGAAAACAGTATGGAGTTTCCCCACAAAAAATTAAAAATAGAAATACCATACAATCCAGCAATTCTACTACTGGGTATTTACCCAAATAAAAACACTCATTAGAAAAGATGTATGCACCCCTATGTTTACTGCAGCATTATTAACAATAGCCACATTATGGAAGCAACCTAAGTGTCCACTGATAAAGAAGATGTGGTATATACATGTATATAATGGGATATTATTCAGCCATAAAAACGAAGGAGATCTTGCCATTCGAGACAACATGGATGGACCTACAGGGTATTATGCTAAGTAAAGTAAGTCCGAGAAATATAAATACCTTATGATTTCACTTCTATGTGGCATGTAAAAAACAAAACAGAAACAGACTCCTATATAGAGAGAACAGATGGCTGGTTGCCAGACAGTGGGGGTAGGTGATGAGTGAAATAAGCGAAGGGGATTAAGAAGCCTACACTACTAGTTAAAAGTAACTCATGGAGATGACAAGTCCAGTATAGGGAGTCTAGTCAATGATGCTGTAATAATGTCATATGGTGACAGTGACTACACTTTTGGTGACGAGCACAGTGTAATGTCAAGTCGCTACGTTTGTTGCACACCAGAAACTATTACAACATTGTATGTCAACTATATTCCCTTTAAAAAAATTAAAAATGGAGTCACATGATTCTGCAATTCCACTTTTGAGTATATACTCAAAACAACTGAAAGCAGGATCTCAAAGAAATATTTGTACACCCATGTTCACAGCAGCATTTTTCGCAATAGCCAAAGGTGGAAACGACCCCAATGTCTATTGACGGATGGATAAACAAAATGTGGTATACACATACAACAGAACACTATTCAGCCTTAAAAAGGAAGGAAATCCTGTCACATGCTACAGCACAGATCAACCTACAGGATATCATACTAAGTGAAATAGGCCAATCACAAAAGACATACTGGATGATTCCATCCTATAAGGTAGAAGTAGTCAAAATCATAGGCACAAACCAGAATGCTAGGTGGGGGCTGTGGAGGGAATGGGGCGTTGCTGTATAATAGCTACAAAGTTGCGGTTTTGCAAGATGAATAGGATTCTGGAGATCCCTTGCAGGACAATGTGAATGCATTTAACGGCTACTGAACACTTAGAAATGGTAAAGATCACAAATTTCATCTTCTATATATTTAAATTAAAAAAAAAAAAAACCACCAGTTGTCACGTGTGAGAAGTGGACCGAAGGCTGAGGGGGAATAAGAGGGAGCAGAAGCCTCACTCTGAGGGACCTGAGCAC